GTTCTGTAAGCCTTCACCTGAAGTACAATAAAATATTAAAAAAAAAAAAAAATACGTCATAGATAATGCTAATGCATCACATCATGAGGTACATAACATCAGGTTGTCCCACTACTACTGAAGCTAAGATATGACCACTTTAATATTATTTCAACTGGATGCATATTTGAGGGCAGAAGAAATACGAAGTGGTTGGCTTCAGGCCCTATACTCCCTAGCGACAGTTTTGGGGCAAAAATGAAATCTGTAGCCAGGATATCTGGAAATGTACCTGACTGGGAGGGGAAGACACATTTGGTTTGTGCTTGACTCCAGGTAATAGGGCAAGTTTTAAGTTGAGCACTTCCCCAGTCCCAAGCCTTTCACACTTCCAAGTCCCAGGCTTATCATGGGCCCAATCCTCCCCTGATTCTCTTTTTCCAGATCCGAATTCAGAGGCCCCAGGTGATGCTGACATCTCTTTAAGGAAAAGGCAGTCTCTCGTGAAACTGTGGAACATGGGAGCGAGGAGCCCCCAGCTCTGCTGAGCTTGGTGAAGCATTTTCCTCACTGGGAGCATTCCACAGGAACCTGATGAGAAATGACCCTACAGTTACAAAGAGGAAGAGGAGAGAGACCACAGTGCTGGGGAACTCTCACATAAGAACACTGTGAAAGTTACAGTGGGGCTGCCATTATTTCAGGCGAGGCCCTTCTGCTCATTTCCAGGGAAGGTCTTCCTCTCACAAGTTCAGTTTCAGCACCACGGACAGTGTCCCCCAACTCATTCAGAATCACTTTACAGTTGATAAAACGTTCTTGTAAGAGTTATTGTATTATTTTTTCATTAAAAATACCTGTGATAGCTTTCTAAAAATATATACGTAACATTTACCTTTAGGTACACGGGATTATGGATATTTTTAAGTATTTATTTTTTATCAATTTCTGGGTTTTGTTAATAAATATAATCATATGTATTTGTGATAGCTAAAAATAATAAAAGCAATTTCATTAAAAATTTTGTGGTTCCCAGACTTCTCTCCAGTCGCCACCCTATATAATGCCGTTTCTCACATGCCAGGCTTTCTCCTCCTCTCCTCCAGGGTGTAGGGTCTGAGGAGTTTTGACCTCAAGATGACAAGAGGGAAATCTGTAGCCAGGATAAGGACCATTCTCTGCCCTTCACCAGCATCATTCACAGCCACTGAGTAAGCCACGAAGACAGTACCCACATACTTGCTCACACAATACAGGGACTCACTCCCTACTGGGAGAAAACTTGGCTCTCTAAATTCTCCTTCTGGAAGTGAGCTGATGTGTCTTTCCATAGATCTGCAGAGATGTAGCCAGAGTTCCATTTCCAACTTTGTCCTCTACTTCCTGGATTAAATTTGGGAACATCATTTGGACTCAGGTTTGTCTTTTGCCAAATAAGGACTAGATAATTTCTAATGACCCCTTTGTCACTGTGCTTTTTCAAGAATTTTAGGAGCAGCTCAGCATTCAGTTTGTTCTGGAAGGTTTCTTCGCAAGCCACTCGGTTCAAACCTTAACCTAACAAAGGGCCTAGGCTGCCCTCTCATGGAGTCTTCGAGCATAGCAGGCACGGTCCAGGTTCTCACTGCCTTTCCCGTCTGTCTCCACAATGAGCAATCAGACTTCACTTGGTTCATTTCCACATGTGCCATCAAAATTTCCTAAAACTGGGAGGTACCCTTAACCCTGTATCTTCCCCAGAAATGCCAATAAAACCGTATGGCCCAAAGAAAAAAAAGTCTCCAAAACTGGGCTGAGTCCAGATGTCTTCACTTCCAGGCCTGCCTTCTTCCCACAGTTCAACCTCCCACAGGCCCAGGCTTCAGTGTCTGTGGGTGGGGGCATTAAAAGGCTGTGGACCCCAAAGTCTGGAACTTCGTTATCCACCTCAGTTCTTCCTGCTCCTTCCTGCTCTCCTCTCACATCTGCTGCATGGAAAAGCAGGATAGAGTGGCTAAAGGCACAGGTTGCACAGATCCAGCTGTTGACAAACCATTCACTAGCTGAGTGAGCCTGGAAAAGTAACTTCTCTCTGGACCCCAGTTCCTTAACCTGTAAAACCTGAGTGATGACTTCTGGGGCCATATTCTCCAGGAGACTGTATATGCTCTAAACCAGCGCTGGGTAGGTTTGAGCCCCCAACCTTTTGATTAGTAGCTGAGCACAAACTGTTTGCATCACCCAGGGACTCTCTTTCTCCAATAGCAGGGTGTTAACTGCTATCAGAGCGAACTTTTTCTGGACACGCACGGGAGAATGGAGGTTCCCAGCCAGGGAAGGGCCCTCTCTCAGCAGCACTGGAAAGATCTGCTTCTATGCCATGGGGCAGAGCAGATGGGGGCAGAAGGGAAGCTTCTCCTGGGCCCCGGAAGGGCACGCCCATGCCCAGGGCTTAGCCAAAACCTTCTGGGGAGGCTCAAGCACGTCAGCTGTTTCCTCCTCATCTGCCTCCTTTACCGGAATGAGGCTGCCTGCACCTCAGAGACCCATTTTGAGAATATCCAGGCCTGGGATTTGGTCCAAGTCAGAGATGCCCAGGAGCATCACCACCCTGAGGAGGTGCTGGAGCAGCCAAGCCAAGGTTCACTGGGAGACAGCCTGGAGGGCAGCCTGGGCCTGGGAAACCCCAAGGGTGGACTCTTGTCACCAACAGTTCCAGAGGCCTCCAAACCAAGCATCAGACTAAGACTTCATGCAGATCGCAAGGAGGGCTAACCTCTCTTCTTCTGGAGCAGGGCGATCACACTTTAGTAAAGACCAGCATCACCTGAGAGCTAACAAAGATCCCAGAGGCTCAGGCTTATTGACCAGGGATAGGGCCTTTGTGATCCTGACACCATCATGGGTGAAAGCCACCACTGTCCTAGGGAAGTTTTAATTGGACTACAGGTGCAGGGGGTTGAGTTGGTCACACATCTCAGATCACCACATCAACAACAATCCCTACAAGGCCCATCGCTCCCCTTCCTGACAATGCTATTTACCTGCTCAAAAGCTACCGATGCCCCATCCTCTTACCGAAGCACAATCTACACTCTTCAGCATGGTTTTCAAGGACACTGCCATCTAGGCTTGCCTCTCCTACACCCACACCTACCCCTGGCTCCTCCTTTCTCTCCATGCCTGCCTTAAGGAGCTCTGTGTCCCCACCTGCAAGGACTGTTGAAGGGCCACTGTTCCCCATCCTGCTTCTTCAGTCTGCATGCCCTTCTCCTAGCTGCCCTCATTAAACCTCTCCGAGCCTGCAGCTCCACTACCACTTCCTCCAGGAGGCCTTCACAATTAATCTCTCTCCTCTATGTCTCCATAACACTGTTACTCCTCTTGTCCCATTCATAATTCCCAATACATATCTGTCCCCCACTCCAGGGTGAGGATTGGGCTTTGTTCCTCTCTGCACCCCTACAGCCCCTAACACAGTGCCTTGTGGGTCCAAAAAAAAAAAAAAAAACCAAACCCGTTGCCGTCCAGTCGATTCCAATAGGAGATGCTGTTAAATATAATTGAATCAAGACTCATCTCCAGGTCTGAGGACCATGCTTTCAGGGGACATCTAGGTCAACTGGCATAACAAAGTTCATTAAGAAAATGTTCTGCATCCCACTTTGGTGAGTGATGTCTGGGGTCTTAAAAGCTAGCGAGTGGCCATCTAAGATGCATCAATTGGTCCCAACCCACCTGGAGTAAAGAAGAATGAAAAACACCAAAGTCACAAGAAAAGCATTAGCCCAAGACACAGAAAGGGCCACATAAACCAGTGATTTCATCAGCCTGAGACCAGAAGAACTAGATGGTACCTGGCTACCACCAATGACCGCCCTGACAGGGAACACAATAGAGAGTCACTGATGGAGCAGGAGAAAAGTGGGGTACAGAACCCAAATTCTAGTAAAAAGATCAGACTTAATTGTCTGACTGAGACTGGAGGAACCCCGGAAAGCATGACCCCCAGGCTCTCTGTCAACCCAGCACTAAAACCATTCCCAAGGCCAACTCTTCAGTCAAAGATTAGACTAGACTATAGGACATAAAATTATACTTGCAAAGAGTGTGCTTCTTAGCTCAAGTAGATACATGAGACTAAATGGGCAGCTCCTGTCCCGAGGTGAGATGAGAAGGCAGAGAGGGTCAGAAGCTGGTTGAATGGACATGGGAAATCAGGGGTGGAAAGCAGGAATGTGCTGTCACAGTATAGGGAGAGTAATCAGGGTCACATAACAATGTATGTATAATTTTTTTTTATGAAAGACTAACTTGAATTGTAAACTTTCACTTAAAGTACAATAAAATAAAATAAAAAAAGAATTATCTGGTATATAAAAAAAAAAGACTCATCTCCATAGTTTCTAGAAACTTCTCCTGTCACATTCACCTTATCCTCCTCTGGCATCATTTTGAGCTTGTGTCAACATGACATAATAAATTTTTATTGTTGTCTGAGTACTTCATGCATACTTTGTCAGACCCAGATCCTAAAAGCCATGGGTATCTGTACAGGCTGATTTGCTCATTTCTATCCCTCTGCCCCCTGAGCCAGGCCTCTCCCACTCTAGAAGGGATCAAGACAAAACGAATAGTCAACAGAGCTTATGTCTCCACCATAAGGCCATCCATGAGTTTGGGAATAAATACAGCACCGTGATCCTTCTCCTTCTTCTCTGGGTATTTCCAGATCACCCTCAGTCACTGAGAGCCTGGGGACGGGGCAAGTTAAGAAGTAAGGCTGGAAGGTCAAGCATAATCCATGACAGTAGACTAAAAACAATGCCACTAGCCCACCCTCAGAATGTATAGATGAGGGAAATGATTTCCCAAATCATCTAAAATTCGGATCTCTTGGAGGGTGGGGCAAGATGGTGGAGTAAACAGTTGCTCCCATTTGTCTCCCTGCAATTAACCCACTGAACAATGAATAAAAACAAGCACAGACAGATATCTCAGATGGCCATTGAAGCATTGGAGAGCCCAGGTGAGTCCCGAAACAGGGGAGAAGAGGAGCAGGATCCCAGAGAAGATGGGCGTTTCTGGCCACTGGCACCTGGAGGACGTGGCTCACTGCGGCCATTTTGGGATGGGATGGGCAACACCCTGAACAAAGACCGCCGGGTGGGAGCTAACCTGAGGAAAGTGTAGTCTGATTAAGGTGGTGCAGATTGGCTATGGGAATTCACAAGCCATGCACTTGGGAAGGGGCACAGGGAAGCCAAGATGCTGCAAGTGAGTGCTATAAAATTCAGATCACTTGCAGGCAGATTGCCCTGTAGTCTTTCAGAAAACAGAGGGTCTTGGCATCTAGAGCCTCAGAGCACTTACCAGGCCCAGGGAGACATGACCATTTGTGATTAGCTCTGAGGGTGACATGAATCCATCAAAACCAAACCAAACCCAAACCCGTTGCCGTCAATTCTGACTCATAGCAACTCTATAGGGCAGAGTAGAACTGCCCC